TTCTTTGTGTAGCTTTGGCTGTCCTGGAACCAACTCTGTAGACCAGGCTGGCCTCAAACTCACAGTCATAGACATCTGCCTCCCAAGTGTTGGGACCCAAAGCATGTGCCACCGCTACCACCACCCACCTCCCATCCTGGTCTTTTTATTTATTTATTTATATTTATTTTGGTGTCTCGAGACAGGATTTCTTGGTAGCTATAGAGTCAGTCCTGGCTGGCCTGGAACTCACGGAGATCCGCCTGCCTCTGTCTCTGAGTGCTGGGATCAAAGGTGTGTGCCACCACTGGCTCCCCTCCTGGTCTTAAGACTATGCCAGTGTGGTAGTAAGAGCCCCAGTCTTCAGGTTATGCCAGTACACAGGCTAAACTCTCAGGCCCATTCAGGTCAGATGCTGGGTTGGCATAGGAGCCTAAGTCAGTCAGACCTAAGAAGACCCTGCACCGCCAGATCCTCCCTGAGAGCTAGGGCTCTGGATGACAGGCAGTCCCCACAACCTTTCACTCCACTCCCCCCAGCAAAGCCCTCCTGTGGCGGTTATCACAGCCCAGATACTAGGGTCTCCAGCCAGGACAGCCAGTTCTCTCCAAGCAGCCTGGCTGCACTACCTGGCATGATCTAGAAGGACACTCACCCAGGCCTAAATCTGACTCATATGCCTCCATTCCCCAGAGAGCACCCCCCCCCCTTTAACTTGGCAAAGCCTAGGACAGTGGTGAAGCAAGCAACTCCCATCCCCTCTCCAGGGTCCAGCTCAGAAAATTCTGACCCGTGCTTTCCTCTCTCTGGTCTCCCCTAACTCCTACCCTCACAGTTGCTGGTCTTGAGGCGCTGCCTTGCCACCAACCACCGGGGAGGTTTCAGAGTGCTGGCAGCCAGGGCGATGAGTCACCCCCACCTGACAAACCTGTCCCGCCTTCACCACCCCCACATGTCTAGCAGGACTTTTCTGAACTCCCTTCTATCTGCAGAGCTGAGGTTTTCCAAGAGGGGCAGTAGACAACTTCCAGTTAGGGCTAATGACGTGGCTTACTCGGTAGAGCACTTGCCCTAGCATGTATGACGCCCTGGGTTCGATCCCGAGCTGTATAAACCTCCTATAGTGCTGTACGCCCGTAATGCCAGCACTTGAGAGGTAGAGGCAGGAGGATCACAAGTTCAAAGTCTGAACTGGTGAGATGACTGATCGGGTTAAGGCTAAATTGGATCCACAGGATCACATGGTAGAAGGAAAAAAAATAACCCTTGAAAAAACTGCCCTCTGAACTCCACAGATGTGCCATGTCCTGCACATGCTCAAACACACAGGCACACACACACACACAAAATAAATACATTAATAATAATAATAATTCTAAAAGGCTTGCCAGGTATGGTGGCAAACCTTTTATCCCAATACTCAGGAGGCAGAGGCAGGTGGATCTCTGTGAGTTCCAGGCCAGCCTGGGGTATATAGCAAGTTCTAGGCTAGGACAGCCAGCTAGGGCTGCATGTTGAGACCCTGTCTCAAAAAAGAAAAAAAAAAAAGATAAGAAAAAAGAAAGAAATAGTTCCAAAATCAACCTCAGAGGCTAGCCTGGGCTACATGAGACTCAAGAAAGGAAAAAGGGGGAGGGGGATTAGTTCCATCCAGAGCTGAGGATGGTGCTCCATAGGAAAGAATTTGCCTAGTTTGGGTTTGATCCCTAGCACGTAAAAGGAAAAATAAGAGAAAAAAGAAATCCTTCCCTAGTTGTAGTGGAGTCAAACAGCAGAATGAGGTCTGGGTTAGAGAGGAAGGCTCTCTTGAGTCTAGCTGTGCAACACTGGGCAAGTTCCTACCCTTCCTGAGTTTCCAAGGATGGAATTAACTGCACCTGCCTACAAGGCAAGCATGATCAGTGGGAAATGCAGCGAAAGGGCTTGCAAGGTACCATGTAGTCTTCTGGCTTTGGATTACCAATCGAGTACTTACTGGGTAGACAGGGTTTTTGTTTTTGTTTTTATGTTTTGTTTTGTTTTTTGAGACAGGGGGTCTCTGTATTGTTTTGGAAGCTGTCCTGGAACTAGGTCTTGTAGACCAGGCTGGCCTCGAACTCACAGAGATCCTCCTGCCTCTGCCTCCTGAGTGCTGGGATTAAAGGTGTGCACCACCACCTCCCGGCTGGGTAGATAGGTTTATTATTCCTGTTTGCCAAAGAGATTGCTGAGCTTCAATGAGGTAAGGCACTTTGACCCAAGCTACATAGGTAACGAGACACTGCTGAGACACAAGCTAGCTTGGTTCAAGCCCATGCCCCAGTACCCAGACTGCCCCATTAGACTAGCTCTCTCCATCACTGATCTCCCGTGGACTAGTACTTCTGCATGAGGACAGGACTTCCTCTCACGAGCAATGGCTTGTGGGCCCCAGGAAGGGAAACAATCAACAAGGCTCCATGTGACCTTCCATTCCCACAGGCTGCATTCTCCAAGCTCAACCCTAGCAGGCCAGACGGCGGCGGCTCCAGAGGGAGGGAGTAGGGTGGAGCCGGGGTGCGGGGGAGGCTCCTGTCACCCAAGCCCAGACTTGATCTGGCAAGAAATGACTAATGGGATCCTACCTTTGCTTCCCCTCCCTCCTGTCCAGTCAGAAGCCAGCTTGGGCCAGGCACCTCCTAGCCATACTTCCTCAGTATTGTCTTTTCATCACAGCCACAAACCAGATTAGCTAAACTAATCATTTAGCTCATGTAATTACAATGCTTTCCCCTCCTCCACCTTGGCACAGAGAGGAGGAAAGACAGGTTGCCTGGGCCTCAACTTCATGCCCCCGGTGCTTCCTAGAGGTGGTCACACATACTTTACCACCCACAGGACCAAGGGTGACCCCTCACTTAAGGGGTTACTCCAGGGGAGGGTCTGATCTCCACCCCGACTCTCCTATCCATAACCAAGCTTCCCAGGTGATTCAGAGCAAGAGGCACAGATGATCCTGGTCCCATCTTCCCTCTGACCCAGGCTAGCCCGTGCATTCCTGCTCTGTCCCCCAAGGAGGCTGGGCTCCAAATACTTATGAGAAGACCCCACTTCAAGTTTGTGTAAACCAGAGCAGCAAGCCTAGTAGAAGTTCACAATTCCAGAGATGAGCTCTCAGCACACCGTGGACAAGGGGAGGGCGCTCACACTGTTCCGCCTGAGGGTGCCTGGCATGGAAGAAACCTTCCACAGCAAAGACTTCCTCCTGCCCCACTTTCCCCGCCAAACACTCAGGAAAAGGGTGGGAGGAGAAGGGACTTCTGGAAAATCCTCTGCACCTTGATAATTTAGAAACCCAGCGGCAAGTATCATTCCTGCCCTGGGCCCTCCTGCCTCAATTGTCAGCCAGCTAAATAAAATGGGGGATGGAATGGGTGTTGAGGTAAAACTAATCACTCTCCCGATCTTCCTCAGTTTAGCCCAGTCCTGCCCTGCCTTGCCCCACCCCCATTCCTGGGGAAGGGGCAGAGCTTGGGAGCCAGAGACACTTAGCAGGCCTCATATAAGGGGGTGTGGTGGTCCCCGGAGGAGGTGAAAGGGGAGGAAGACACTTCCCCTTTCAGCAACCCCCCCCACCCCCGGCCATCGTAGGTCCCCACCTCAGGCCTTAGGGGCCTAGCAAACAGGATGGAGGTGGGGGCAGGGACGACAGGGTCAAAGCGCAGGCACTGGCCCACGTTCAGCCTGGAGCTGGGCTGGGGGAAGGGGCTTCCCTCCAAGAAGCATCCCCAAGCCTGGAATCAGCTCTGAGCAAGCAGACAGGAAAACCCTAGAGAAGGCTACCATGGCTACTTTCTCCTGGAAAGTTTGTTTGGAGTGATTTCTCAACAATAATGGTTTGCAGAAAGAAAAAAAGGTATCGCTGTTTCCCTGTCAACACTCCGAAAAACACAGCTACTGAAAACTGGGCGAACGCTTCTTAATTCTCTCTACTGGCCCAGACTCCAGGCCAAGCCACCAGTGTCTGATATCGGTAGGGCACGGAGCCCAGACCCTTTACCAGTTCCCTGTCACCCCATCCCACCTCAACTGGAGAAGGCATAGACCCGCATATACTAAAGCGGAGGAGGCTCCACAGGTACAGCTCGGAGCTGAAAGGCAGGGCCTCGATCCTCCAAGCGCTCACCTGCTCTGCTCAGCAGGTGGGGACCGCGTCTCTGGGAAAATGTGCACTGCACTCGGCCCCCACAGTTGGGTAAGCTGGGCGCAGACAATAGGGCCCCACCCAGGCCTGGGGGAGTAGGGAGGGAGGGAAAGCGAGGATGACGCGTGGGGTGGGGTGAGGGTGGCCCCGAAGAGACTAGCTAGCAAGTTTCCCGAGCGGTAAAATTCTGTCACCCTGGGCTCCAGAACCAGGCGGAACGGGTCAAAGTCTGCCCCGTCAGCTCGGGTCAGAGTCAGGGACGCAGCGTCGGGTAAGCTCCGCGGGCCCTGGGGGAGGCGCGAACTCCGAAGCACCTGCCCTATTTCCTCCCCGCCCTTCTCAGACCTGCAGTTCAGGGATCCAGGAGGGACGCTCCAACCCGGATCGCTCGTCCCAAGGGGAACGCGCCCAGGACCCCAGCGCGCCCCCTGTCGCCGGTGCAGGGTGCGCTCTCTGGCACCCTCCCTCACCTGCCCTGAGACTGCTGGAGCCCACCTCTGGGCCGCCTGCTGTCCCTTCTCTGCCCGCAGTGATATGCACCCCGATCGGATGTACCTGAGCGTGGAGCCGGGCCGGGCCGGGTCGGGTCGGGGTTAAGCCGGGAGGGAGCCGGCGCGGGTAGCGAACTGAGCTCGGCGCGCTCGGGCGGCGGCTGCTCCGGACTCTGGCCAAGGCAGCAACTCAGTAACCGAACAAAAGGCAAAGGGACCTGACAGCCAAGCCACACCTCTCGCCCCCTCTAAGCCCCGCCTTCTGGGGGAGACTCCCACCCGCTGAGGCCAGCTCACTGGCTGCTCTGCCTGACTATCCTATCGAGGGGCGGAGCCTCGCGCCTGGACCTTTACCACGGCCGCCTCTGTTTATGCGCTCACCATTGGCCCCAGGGACTGCCAGTCGGCTCTGGGGTGGACGCCAACTTGAGGTCTCATCCTCACTCAGCATCTATTGGCAAATAGAAAGTTTCTTCCTTATGATTGGACAGGGGCCTGTCAGTAAGACTAAGGAAAAAGCCAATGGAACAGGTGGGGCGTGTCTTGCCCCACCCTAGCCCTGAGCAGGTAAGACTCATTACTCTCCCCTTCCCCCTACCTGTCCAACAGGTGAGTCAGGGGGCGGCATGGGAAAGGACTGACGCCTTCACTGGCCAGCCAACTCAGCGTCAGGCTTATTCATTCTTGCCCCAATGTAGTAATAAGATGTTTGTAAAGCATTTCACAGGCTTTATGCTAGGTTGGGATTCCTCCCCCTTGCAAAAGATAGAGTGTTCCTTCTGTCTAGAAATAAAAGGCCTGGGTTTCGGTTCTCTCCTTAATCTTTGTATGACCTCGGACCAATTAGTTTACCTTTCACCTTGTTTCTCCTCACCTGTAAAGTGGGTTCATTAACTTTATCTGTCTTAGGTTGGAGAGATTAAATGAAGTGCTTAGATGTGGTAGTACTGAAATAGCTGAGGAATGTCAGGATTTAAACCAATGATATGGTCAGTTTGAGGCAGTTCTTTAAAACTGTTAGAGGGTAGTGGTGGCGCACGCCTTTAATCCCAGCACTTGGGAGGCAGAGGCAGGTGGATCTCTGTGAGTTTGAGGACAGCCTGGTCTACAGAGCTAGTTCCAGGACAGGCTTGAAAGCTACACAGAGGACCCTGTCTCGAAAAACAACAAACAAACAAAAAAACTGTTGTAGCAACAAAATGATCTGCATTAACAGAATTTTTGTAATGGACTGTGTGACAGCTCAGCTGTAAAAGCCTGACAACCTGGGTTTGATACATGGAGGAGAGAGACGCTGAAGTCTACACAGATAAAAGTAAACAAAGTGTAATGCAATTTAAAAACTAAGCTTCAAAGCAGTCGTAAGAAAATATGATGCACTCCAACCTATGACGCCTTCTGATTTCAAGTCCCACAAAATCCCAAGGAGCAGAGTGGAAGGGTCAGTGTGTGTGTTTGTGGCGGGGAGGGGTAACAACACTCCAAGGAGAAACAGACAAAAGAACAGCGATTCCATCAAAGATTAAATGATGGAATGATGGTGTAAGGAAGCTTGGGGGGGGTGTTGGGGAGAAAGTCAGACATAGTGCTCAAGGCTGGTTGGCTAGCCGAAAGAACTCCAAGTAGCCCACTTAAGAAGACGTGGGTATTCCCTCCTGCGGTTGATGAGATGAGTGTTGTTGTGACCTGTATATGTTCATTCATTCAACCCAAGTACTGAGCGCCAACTGTGTGTGAGGGGCCAATTTAGACCCTGGTTGCACAGAAAATTAAAAGTATCCTAATTCTCAGAAAGCTTACAGAGTGATAAGAGTAAACAGCCTGTGCGGGTGGGAGTTGGGCGAGTGGCTGTTTAGAAAAGGATTTCCTGAACACACACACACACACACACACACACACACACACACACACACACACACACACACGAGAGCTTCTGAGCTAAAATAATGCCAGATGAAGGTTTCCTAACAGTATCTTTGACCACATTTCCCCAACAGGGAAAGGAAGGAGACTTAACTTGTTCCCTTCCATCCAATAAGTCTTCGTGGAAGGGGCAGGAAGATGGCAACATCCCAGATCTAGTTGCAGCTCCACATGCCAGGTTGCCGGGACCACTCACTCCTCTCTGCTGTTTCCCTGGCTCCCACCCCCTCCAGTTTACCTGGGGATCTTTACCTCCACCTAATCCCGCCCCACCTGCCTCCTTGCCACCCTCCACATTAAGCAGTGATCAGCCCAGAGCTCAAGAAGAACTCACCACCTCAAACTCCTGCCTCTGCCAGGGTTCCATCCTCCACCAAGTCCTCCCACCCAGCCACATGAAGCTTCTAAACCCCTTGCAGGTTTCTCTGCCGCCTTCCAATCACACTCCAGCCAAACGGCAGCAGGGGAGGGCTGTGGAGAAAGCTGTAGTAGCCTAGGTGGGGTTGGGGGTAGGGACTGGGGCTTCTGAATAAGCTCTGTGTAGCCCCAGAATGCACCCCTACATGTCTTAGCACATAACAAGCCACAACACGTCTTCAAGACCAAAGCTAAGATCCCGGGTGGAGGCTTCAGGGAGGGAAGCAGCGCCAACTCCTCCCAGATGGATGGATTTCCTGTGTGTTTCCTAATCTCCTACTGTGTGCCTGCCAAGCACCGGGGCTTCATCTGCATCTGAGGATACAGAAAGGAATCAGAAAACCATCTTTCCTGGAACCAGCCATCTGCATAAGGGATTTGGTCTCCTGGTGGAGAAAGAGGTCCTTAGGAATAGAGCTGAGCACAACTGTGGCCATGGCGTCCTCTGCAGCTAGAACTGGAAGGAGAGGCCACAGGCCATCTTACCCAGTCTTCAGCTTCCCAGCCTTTAAAGGCAAGAATCTTTGTATTTGACAAATCTCCAAAAAAGGGAATTCTCCAGTCTCCCTTATAGCGAAGGCCCTTGTCTCCTCTTTTCTGACAGTGGTGCGTTTCTTATGAGGCCTAGCTTCAGCTCATACCCCTGCAGTTTAACCTCATTTCTCTCGCCTGGAGCTCAGTAGGAGCAAAAACCTTGGGCCACCAAGACATATCTGATTAACTCAACCTTGCAGCTTTTCAGAGCCTGAGAGTCGGGAGTAATAGGGCACCAACCGGCCCATCCCAAGCTCCCCAGAGACAGAAGCCAGCCATAAAGAGGAGGGACTGTGCACTGCAGAACCTCAAGACAAAGGTGAACATTAATCAGTGTCCAGAACAGCCGGGCCACCTCCCTTGCTTATGTCATTTCTCCCTCATGTTCCATAGGCCTCTGGGCCATATAAGGAGCAGAAGAGTTTCTGTTCTTTCCTCTTCATAATTATTATTGTAGTACACATGATGGATGCACGCATCAGAGCATGCCCTTGAGGACAGACGACAACTTTGTGGGGTTGGTTCCACAATTCCTATCATTTTTATGTGGGTTCTGGGGATTCAACTCAGGTTGTCAGGCTGCACGGAAAGCCCCTTTAACTCCCTGGGCTTCCGTTCTTTGTTTGAACTTTGTCCTTAGGCTGTGGAGAGAGAGCCCTCCTGATGGATAGCTGTCATTTGGACCTATAGAAAACAGATGTGCGCGGCCAGGCGGTGGTGGCGCACACCTTTAATCCCAGCACTCGGGAGGCAGAGGCAGGCAGATCTCTGTGAGTTCGAGGCCGGGCTGGACCGACAGCCTCAAAAACAATACAGAGAAACCCTGTCTTGTAAAAACCAAAAAAAAAAAAAGAAAAAAAGAAAAAAAAAAACAAACAGACGTGCGCACGCACACATACACAGATCCAGACACACACACTCACGTACATACACAGCTCAGATGGCCTAAGAGATGGCCACTTGTAGAAAGGCTTACCTTTGAATCATTCAGAGAACCAACTACCAACAGCTGAAGTTTTTCTGGGCAGATCTGAATCAAATGCAGTGTTTAAAACCTAAAGGCAGCATGGGCATGTTCGTCTGTCACTCTGGGTACAGAGCCATCCTTAAGCCTAGGGAAGAGGCCTTCTGTCGTGGGTCCTACCCTTTAAAAGCTTTGATTTTTCATCCCTGTCCCGGTCTTCCTGGAGTTACGAATCTCCATCTAGGGCCAAGGAGGGGAGAAGGCTGCACAGAACTCACACTCCTTCCAAACCAGGTGTCAGGAAACCCTGGCGTTCCTTGTGCAGCATGGACTCTGCTCCTAAGTCTATGAATCTTTCAAAATGTTTTTTTTTGTCCCAAGGTCCTGTCACTTGTGGGTGGTAAGCCAAAGAAATTACAAGTCCAGTTGCTGGGCAAGGTGGGAGGAAGGCTGCCACTGGGACACACATTAGTGTGTCCTCACGCATGTGTAGGGTTGGAGGCAGCTGTGTCCCCATGCTTGCGCAGGGCTAGGGTGGCTTTGTGTTATGGCCAAAGACAGGCAGAAAGGTAGATGTCCCCAGGGGCTGGGGACAGTTCTTCCTGGGGCTATTGTGTTCTGACAGAGGGAGTATTCTAAAGTCCTTCCTGGCCCCTGGTGGCCACTGTGGGGTCCTCTTGGGCTGGACTGCTCATTTAACATATTGCTCACTTGCATGGAAACTCAATCCATCTTTAAGCCTCCGGCCAGCGCTGACGGAAGTTGGGGGTGGGGCCTGACCCCTTTAGGGCTGGATAGGGACACTGGCTACAGAAGACTTTGGAAGTCTCTGAACTCCCTGCTGGAGGGATGCCCACTTCAGCTGGTGTTGGGGCGGTCTGGAGGTGGAGTGGGGGGCACTCCTGCCATCTTAGTGGCACTTGGTTCTGGGGAGCAGCCTCGAGGCCAGGTGCCGCTGCCCACAGCTAGTCCTGTGGGTGTGCTCCCAGCCAAGGCAGGCTCCTAATTACAGAGGTAGCTCCAGCGACAGACGTGACACCTCACAGCAAGGCATGTGGGCGGGATGGAATGCCAAAAAGAAAACAGGGAGACTAGAAAACAGAGATAGGGGAAACAGAAATAGTACAGGCCAGGGCCAGATACCAGAGGTGGGGGAAGGGGAGCCCAGAGGAGCTCTGGACCTCTTTTGAGAATGTCTGTCTGCCTTATCCACGCCAACCCCCCACAATGAAGTCCTAGGACAGCTGTTCTCCTTCAGCTCCAACCCCCACCAGGAAAGTCTCGGAACAGGCTTGTGGCATGGGTGTGCTCTGAAGTGGGTGTTGTGAGAGCTCCTGAGCAACTGCCAACAGGTCCTCGTCGAGTAGTTTTGGGGGGAGGGAGGGACCGGTGAGACATTGCCACCTGAGTCACCCAGCTTCCTGCTCCTGGCTTGGGCGACTCCTCGAGCAGACTGACACAGGTGGGGCTCCTGCCAGCCTGCCTGCCCCTCCCTTCCCTCCACAAGCCCTGAGAAATGCCCTCACTAACTAGGAACCCTGCCCACAGAGAGGCCATTGCTCCTGAGCAAGCATGCACCTGTGCATGTGCCACGCCTGCTTGTGGGACACACACACACACACACCTCCCAGCTTGGAGTTCTTGGGGAGAAATGGATCCCCATTCCCCGCACACAAGAGAAAACCGAGGCTGGAGCCAGGAGGGGGGCTTATCTAGGGCCCATGAACAG